TTATTTGGTACAGCACGACTCAGCACAGAGTGCCAGACTCTCTTTGTAGGGCAGCTAAGTTCATTTTGTGTCATGAGGGTTGAGCTATAAAGACGCAATAGGCTAGTGGGGTGTTGTTGAGCCACTGTTTCCTTTTATATGCCTGAAACAATATGGTAGCCTAAATCATAAACAAAGGGGTGTGCTTTCAACTTGACATGAACATATCAATTAGTGTACAATATTATCAATCTGACTGCTAAATGCAATAAGCTAATGAATTTTCTAATCTCTGGCAAAGTCGGTGCTACTATAACTATCCCGCATTGCTTCATTACGTGTTATTACAAATGTACAGCTCAGCAGGTTGTATATATAAACTGTATTCCCTGAGAATGTGTATTGCTCTTGTCTATCGCACAAATTTCCCCGCCGTGGGATCAATAAAGTCTTGTCTTATCTTTTCTTATAATTGTAGTGATCAAGGTTTAAAGAAAGCCACTTTGTTATACTGAGACACTAAACAGTTCTGGTTTTAAGCTAACCAATACCTTACTAAACCATCAATCACACTTCAAGGTAAATGCCTTTGCTCTGGAGCAGGTTGTGTTAAGAGAACGTAGCAAATGGAATATTTTCACAAATTCTTTTATACTGACAGTTTGATCGAATGGCAAAATATAATCTTAACTGAGGGAGTATGTTTTTTAATTGCAAACCTGTGTACACTGATACACTAGCAGTTAAGTTACCAACAAATGATATGTCTGGTGTCTCCACCAGACATACCATTTGTTGGTACAAATTTGCATACATTCATCTGGTGATGAATGTACAGAATCTACAGAACATCCACAAAGCTTGATAAAATACTTTACTGTCAAATCTGTTTATGGTAAATGGTCTGGTATTCTACTCTACTTGAGGGCTCAAAGCGCTCCATACAACATGTCTCATTCATACAAGCACTTTTTTTGGCTGCTTCTAAGTTTTCTATCTAATTTTCAAACTCTGATAAACACATCCAGGTTCAGTATCTTGCCCAAGGATACTTTTGCATACAGGTTGGAACAGCCAGGGATTTGACCACCAACCTTCCAATTGGTAGATGAAGTGGTAGAGAATGTACACTACTGGCACTGTATAACACAAAAAAACTAAGTAGCCTGTTGTAGCATATTTGATAGAGATTATTTAATAAGTAGAGTTCATTTTACTTTGATTTAGATAAAAGCCGGTGTGATTTCCACAACTTTTTCATTACAGGACCATATCAGGTTCGAATGTTCTTCTTGAATATCACATTTAAACGTCACGAGTTTAAAGTTCACAAGTTTAAGCATTTCACTGAGTTTGACTGAAGAAAGCAGCACCCATTCAGTCCATGTTGTGTGGAAGATGAGTCAAATGAATGGTTTAATAGGAGTATACACAGAGTTTGAGGAAGAAGCCATAGGTTAACAGTAGAAAGTTGATAATCACTGTTTTGATGCCCAATATCTCTGACTTTAAATTTCTGGGTTTTAGGTTTTGTCAAAACAGCTAAGACACAGAAAATCCAGCTATCTAGTACACCCTTCAGATGTTGAACATACTGAAGCCTTTTACCACCTAATTGCTAAATACATATTTTCCACAGGATAGTGGACTCCAGGCACAAAATAAAAAGGACAGTCTAATTTGTGGTTAGACAAACAGCTAGAAAATGAAAAGTAATGTTGCAAACAGAAGCTGTTAATAAAACAAGCTTACCAAATCAATAACACTTGTGATATATCAGGGTCCATTTCAGTACTGAAAGAGCACATACTAAGTGTTTCAAACTGATGTATTTTAAAACATCTGTATTTGAAACTACCAAACTTAAAGCTGGTGGTATAATGTCTTTTGTTTTGTAATGACCTATAGAGTGACACACTTTTAGGCTACAATACGCGTGTTACCTTTTTTACTGTCAAATGCCATAAAGCCATATGGTTTTATAAGAGTAACTTCATCTGGCCACTGCTTTTCAGAAGTCTTGCCTTGGAGTGTGCTCTTTCAGAATTTCAGCTGGAGGGCACATTGGTGAAACCTTGTGGTGATGAGGGCAATATATCAGTCAGAAGCATTTTAAGTCATTGCGTTGCTGAACACAAGGAATGACTTACATTAACTGCAGTTCAACAGTCATAGAGTCAAAGGACAAAAGGTAAAAAACAGGGTATAATCTGAAAAGGTCAAGTCAATCAAGCTTAATCTGATACACAGAAAGTCCATATGTACAACTGTCATTTTTACTTCAACTCCAGGGAAGTTGAAATAAGCAATATGAGGCAGTATTTAGTTGTTTAAAGTCTTTAAAACCTTAAATTTTACTCCTTAAATGTTGTTTAGAAAATAATGTTGTGTTTTACTTTGTAATTATTTAATATCTGAAAAATATTGAGTAATACAAGCTTGATATGAAAAACTGCATTATGTATCAAGAAGTGTTTCTCACATTTGGACCAAATTTATGGCTTCTTCTTCTCCTTTTTGAAAAACTAAAATAATAATGCAACCCCAGCTAAATTACCAGCTGCATATAGAGACCAGAATCCATCACAGTGCATTTTTGTAATTTTAAGCAAAACCCTTTTCCTTTACCAGGGCCTACTGGAGCAGTCAGGATGCCCCCGTTAGGTCTCCCTCCTGCCTAGACCCAGCGTATCTGCACCGTACAGCCATTAACCACCATTACCGGGCAGGGCTATTTCATGGTCAAAGAGCATTTTAGTGTTTGCTCTCCCTGGGGCAACAAAGTCATCCAAGTGAGTTTCAGCCCTGCTTGGCTACATATGCTATGTTTTACATCTACTCTCTTTTTAAGCTTATTTTTTATTAATTTCGCCCCGTTATGCACTTTGACTCTGTGAGTGTGACTTAGAATGAACTGTGGATTTTGCAGAAAATAATAATTGTGTTGGACATACTCGCATCATCCATTAATTAATGAGACCTGACTTACAGTAGAAAAAAAATCCTTAAATGATCTTTAAACCCCAACACCAAAGAAAGAAAACCTTCACTGTACAGTATAGCTCCGTGCTCACAGACATTATGTAATGGATGAGTGTGTTGCAGTGCTCCAAAATAACATCAACCAGCATCCATTGATCCATTATTAACTATAGTTTTATGATTATTGGCTGAAACCGCTAATTGGCTGAAACCACTAATGGGGCTCTACAGACTTACTCCTCTTTGCATCACACCATATTAAAATTGTCAGGCTCTCACTGTCAGATGAACCTTTTCAACCCTGTTCGACTTTTTATCCACTATGTATTCAGCAATGGGTGGAGTGGTGGCTCATTAGAGGGCTGTGATTGCTGAGTTAGAAAGTTACAAAGGTTACTCTCCGCAAAACGCCTGACTGAGGGCTGGCTCATTTAAAACAGTAACAAATAGTGTTTTGGACGCCAAAGCCCCATCACACCTCGTCCTTGCTGCTAATATCTCATGCAAAGCATCCAAATAAAATGACGAAATACACAGAAATTGCAAATTGCCCTCCTGGACACCACACAGGAAGTATTTTCACAGACTTGTTGGCAGGACACATGATCTGTCTGAGCTTTTCAAAGTAGTCACAAATAGCAAGAAGGTCCTGAGTTCAATTCCATCACCAGTATTTCTGTGTGGAGTTTGCATGTTCTCCCTGTGTTTGCATGGGTTCTCTCCAGGTACTCTGGCTTCCTCCTATAGTCCAAAGACATACAGTTAGTGGAGTGAGGTTAATTGATGATGCCCATAGGTGTGAATGTGAGTGCAAATGGTTGTCTGTCTCAGTGTGTTAGCCCTGCAACAGACTAGCGACCTGTCCTGGGTGTACCCCACCTAGGACAGCTCCCTGCAACCCTGAATTGGATAAGGAGAGGGGAATAGATGGATGGACAAAATCCAGGTTGCGATTTGGGTTTAATTTGTTAAAGTTAGAGGGACTTCATTATCATGGTTTGAATAACAACTAAATGTTTACAATTGTGGTCACGCTTTAAAATTTGCCAACTATTAGTTAGAAACAAAAGTCTTTATAATGCAGGTTTTGTCTATTTTGACACCTGACTAGTGCCTTTTTGTCTATTCATAATTCCTATAAACCAGGCATGCAATTCCCTTTATGTAACTGTCCCTCAGTGCAGCTAAGTTGGTTACAGGGCTCTTTAGACCTCAGTAATTCAGCCAAAGATTTCCCACATGTAGAGCATTTTAAAACATCTAGGGATGAAAAAGAGCACCGGGGGAAGGCATGTCTCAGTTGACCTCATTCTTTACGGAGACAGTGGAGGACTCAGGAGATCTTTATTCCCATGGGCATTTGTCCAAATAACAGAAATTGGTTAGAGAGACAAATATCTTTGACTTCCACCATGGCGAATGCATACAGAAGATACCTTGGAAAATTACCCTACTCTTATTGAAGTTGTGTCCTGGCAATTTTTAGCCTTATTCAATAATTTTGTAAGTTAACCTGGACTGCTAGCTCAGGTAGCTGTAGCTCAGGCAGTAGAGCAGGTCCCCTACTACTCGGAAGACTGGTAGTAAACTGTAGTTCAATTCCTAGCTGATTAAATCTGCATGACAAATATCTTTGGGCGAGACACTAACCCCACATTGTTCTCTGATGTTGTATAAAGAGGTGCTCAGACAGAATACAAAAGCTCTGTCCATTTACATCCTGTAAAACAGGCAATAAAGAAGGGACTTAGTCAATACTCTATGGGTGTACATTGTTATTTGATTGAGTTGAGTGTTGCAAAAATATTTAAGGTTGGTTTGTTCCGTAAACTGATGGGTGATGTCATTGAGGCTACATCCATATTTCATGGCATTTACAGCATAAAGTTAAAGCAATAAACAATGAGATGATCTGTTAATCTATTTTGGATACAGCTTGGAGAGTCATGTGATAATCCATATGGGCCCCTCCCCCTAAATGTAGCCCTGTAGAAACAGAGTACCATATTTTATGTGTTTTGTTTTCATTAATGTGTGTATTACACATTTGGATATAAATTATAAGTTATTTGGTAAATTTATTTATTCTTTAAGTTCAATTTTAAAAGTTTTCAATTTCTTGGTTTACACGGCCTACCGGGGTCTGATTGGAGGGAAGGAAACTTGACCCGCCCTCTCCTAGCATGAGGACACACGACATGGAACACCAGAGAACTAAGAAGCAAGTTCACAAAGTGAAAACAAAGCTGTTGTATCTCTGAAAGTGTTTAAAAATAAAAGCAGAAGTGGCCGAGGCGACAGCCAACACGCTTGATAAAGTTGAACTTCTTGGTAAGTGATTATCGAGTTAGAGTTTAGCTAAGCTAATGTAGCTAACTATAGTGTTGGCATGACAGCCGATGTTACAGTTAAATACATTTTTTTCCCGGTGTGTATGAGACGTTATGTGTACTTACAGCCATATAAGAAATTTGTGAAGGAAATTTAGAGGCAAACAAAAATGTGGCTCTCATTGAAATATGGTCACAGATTGTAATGCCATGACTGTATACAATAAGGGTGTTATTGTTATGCAGGCTGGATTTTTGTCTTTGGATACCTTTTGAATCTCCCTGGAGTTGGGCCCCGGATTTCCTCCTTTGCCTAGGAGGTGGTGCACCCATCCATCTACCTGAGAAGGAATCCACCTATTCCTTCTCTTCTGTTGGAGAAGTTATCCGCTGTGGTAGGACTAACATAGATCACAAACTGTTGTTGACTAATACCATTGGGTGCAGCCACAAAGAAACAACTGCTCTAAGGTTTGACTAAATACTTTACGCTATCACATAATTATTTTTTGCATAAATCCTACTGATACCCACTTTGTAGTAGCATTTTTTGTTTTTATTTGTTGTTTGGAATCACCATTCATTTCTACTGCGGTTTAAGGTTTACACCATATGCCACTGATGGCAATGTTTTATTTCAGCATGCAGTTAATGCCATGTTTTAAGTTATTTATTGTGCTCCGGTATTGCAAAATATAGTGAGTGTTACAATCACTGTCAAAGCCTCCAGCTATTTCCTGGTAATCACACACATTTTGGCACCTACCTCTCAAATCTAAATACTGGTCCACTATTTTGTAGCTTATCTAGACCAACTAGTGGGTCTGATTATGTTACATAAACATAAATCAAATCAAGCTGGCCATTACAGTCCGTGACAGTACAACTCATCCAACTTGCTGAATAGATCTATCCCAACTGGTGGTGGGACTATATAAAGATATGTACTGAATGGAAATAATGAGTACAAATGCAATTAACATTCATTCAGTAACAATACTCACCACATTCTACTGTATGTTGCGGTTATGATGAACTATATTGTAAAAGTTTTGTATAGTAAGTTATAATTTACATCCCTGGGAGTCAGAATTGTTGTGCTCTGGATAAACTTGTGTTTGCTTATTTTTAAGGCAGCAATTTATTAATACAAAATAGACCTACAAATATCTTTCTAATGAAAGCTCTCAGTGTATGTTAACTCTACCTTGACAGAACATGACTCCAAATGTTACATTTTAATCTGCTTGAGTGGAGACTCAAACATCTGTATTTCATCAGAAAAGAAGTAATCAAAGTTGACATCAAGCTGGTCCTTAAAGTTTGTTTGCAAGTGCCAGCAATCTGGCTCAACATTGGTATGAGAGTAATGAAACATTTTTATTAAGAAATTATGATATGTAGTTATCTAGAGCAGTGGAACATAGTATGCAGCTGTTGCTGGCAGACCCCACTTAAAAGTGTTATGCACGGACTGTTGCTACCATCTGGCTATTACCCGTGAATATGAGGTTATATAAAATGCAAACATTAAGGTTCAGTCATACCTCAGCAAACTACAAAACCATATTTGACACATTAAAGGCATGTTCTGATTTTTGGGACACACATTGGTAGAATGGGGTCAACAAGTTTTCCAGATAATCACAGAGATAAAGCGTATGTGCAGATAAAGTCTTCTTTGCCTCGTGCTTCAAGAGAAACTTTCTGATTGACATTGGCAAAAGACAACAACAGCACCGGGCAATTCGGATGAAAGCGAGAGACACCACCCACTGTCATGTCGTACAGCAGCTCAATAGTCCACCGAGCACTGACAGTCACCACAGCTGTACATTTTACGCTACCTGAAGCCCAATAATTAGCATTGCTTTTTGAGGAAAAAAATCCCAAAACAAACAGAACATACACTCCAAGATTTATATAAACAACTATGCACGCACACACACACATTCAACCGCATGTGCACGTCAGGTACGCACGCTCAACACATTCAGTGGAACTCCTGCTTAACTTAATTGTTCTTTTCTGTAAATTGGAGCTATTTGTGTAGTTCGTTTTTGTATTAATTTGTGTCAGTGTTACACTTGTCAGCTTGAAGTTGACAAGAGAGCCATATTCTTGTTGTACAGTAGGAATCCAAACATGCTGGTTCTGCCTCATGCTGCTGGTGGATGACACTCAGGGAGAGATCATCTTGCTCAGTAGGCAGTTTCCTCTCAGTTGAACTAGACAGCTGTTTGTTTCTCAAAACTTGGCTATTTGACATATGTTGTATCCATGTTGTCAAAAATCACTCCACACACAAATTAGTTCCCCCAAATTGCATCTACTCTTGTAATAAGCTGTTTTTTTGGACTTTAATGACTATTTTTAACCACTAAAAGGGTATTTCTATTACTTAGATGTGTTTTATTTCAGTTAGAATTCCTTTGTACATTAAATATATTATAATATTTTCAGCTTTTAACCGGTTTAGAGTATTATATGATCTAGGGGTATTGCTGGAGGAAAAGGTTTTGTGGATTTTGTCCTAGAGGCAGACATAGCAGGACAAATCAGCAGGTCTCAGGACAAACCATCCTGTCACAAGAGATGGAGAGCCTGGCCAACTGTGTTGACTGATTGTTAGCATTAGTGGCTTTGAGTGTGATTAATATGCCTTCCTCTCACATAGCACTCTGGAAAAAGAGAGGTGTAGCTTAAAACTAAAAGTGGAGGCCACATTGCACATTTTTAAAGAAGATAATGCATAACCTGAGTGTGGCCAGCTGTATGTAGCTGGATGGATGGCTCTCAGAGTCCAGGTGCTCTTGCATTAATTCCTCCACCTTGAATCAGAGGGAGGATGTGCTGGCCTAATGAGCTTGTTGTGTGGGATGCTGTGCGTGCTGCTGAGATGCTGTTAGAACACACTGTGCTCCAGCTTAGTGAATTTGAGGCGAGCGTAATTGCTGTGTTGTGAAGGGGATCTTCTTCTTCTGCATCTGAAGCAGCCCCTTAGCACCTGCCTGTTTGCCTGGGCCTCCTGTCTGCCGCGGTCATGGCACTCCCTTCGCTTCCGCACACTGGGACTTTGGCACTCACCAGTCAATTTGGCTGTAATTTGAGAAGATTAGGTCCCCGTACAGTTAAGTCAAACATTGCATCACTGCCTCTCTGTTGTGGAGCACAAAAGTTCTTGCTGTGCTCTGCCACTGTTGACAAAAGCACGCGAGCACCTGGGCATGTGCACATACAGTTTCCTCAGTGGAAAGGTATGTACTATATAAGCTGGTGTACCACTTGGCTTACGTTGCATATAGATTAATATTTTTTCTTTTATTGAAAAGTAGTTTATACAGTACTGATAAAAATTATTATTACAATATAAAAAATTTAACTTCAAACTTTCACAACCACAGGCTCTGACAGAGGAGCTGTAAATTAACCTGAATGGCTCTTACAAAGCCGATTCTTCTACTCGTAGTTTCCATTACCAATAAGGGTATCTAGGGGGAAGTAAAGACATGTTCTGAAAGAGAAGAAAACTTTTACATAAAACTGCAAATCCACATAACAGACAGAAAAAAACAATCTCCTCAATTACACTGTAGCACTGTGTAGCAATGTTGCACAAATAGGGTTTGCCTTAAAGAGTTATTAGAAGAAAAAATTACCTTCAACCTCATTTTCAGCCAGACTCAAGTCAGCAATATTTGGAAAAATGTGGTTTTGGAAACATGGGCTGTGGACAGATTGAACATTTCAATTGAACCCTTGGGCTAGACTCACAAAGTATTCAAAGTATTCAGTGGCTCAGTAAAACCGCAAAGGGAAGAACAGATTCTACTAAACACTTAACAAAATCTGGATGCAAACTGAACCTGGAAGTCTACATTGGGTCGGTGCAAATCTTAACATCCATGACCTGCAGAAGGAAATATCAAATCACAATAAAACTTAAGTTGATGTTGATAAAATATAGAATAAAACCAATTTATACGTGTATATGAAGAATAACTTATTGTTTATGCATTTTTGCAGATTTTTCCCACGAATAACTAAACCTTTGAATACTGAGGCTAAAATTGCCAGTGAAGCCATGTTTACAACAAGCTTTATCAGATGCCCACATTCATGTCTGCCTGTTTCTAAGTTGTTGTTTTTTCTTTTGCAGTAAGTATGACACTGCTTAGAATACTAAAGCAAAAATATACGTCAAGTCCAGTCAGTCGCTCATTGAGTTGTAGACATGACATGATAAAATGCCACCTTCAGTTTTCCATTTTTGTACATGTGTGAAGGCCATAAGAAGGCTAAGCTATTAACCATGCTGCTCATTCAACATCTGCACGAGGTTCATCTGTGCAGCAGAGAGCCGTGGCTCAGGCACTCCCTCTGTGCCCCTATGGAAAAAGAGGCCTGCCAGAATGAGGAATGATGGCTAAGGCCCTGATTATTAGGATTAATTGTCTCTTAGTCATGCAGTGGAGCAGGAATGCCAGGGTAAAAGCAAGGTGGAAATAAAGAGGGCCAGCCAGCAGTCGTCATGTTTTCTTTACAAGCACCTTTCACATAACAGTTCCTCTCAGGTACTTCACTCTATCAACACCATTTAGACTGGTGATAAGCATGAAGTCATAATAAAATACGAAATGCTTTTGAATGGAAGTTATTCTACTTATCCTCTGTGCTGAAAAACTTGTTTTAAATAAAGCATTGCCCTGGTAATAATACTGGTGCTGTGTAGCCTATGAAAACACACCTGCCAGGTTAAAGGTTTCTTACACAATCTGCTTCGTATTCATTTTGGCCCTAGAAATCTCAAGTATTGATCTTTGACATACTCACTCTCTGTTAGCTTGTTTATAGATTTTACCAGAAAAAAAACAAACACATTTCATTATTTTTTTATTTTCATTTTTTGCCAAAAAAAAGTTACACAGACAGTCTGTGCCAAGCTCAAACTTCTTTCAGCATTTAAATAGTGTAGATAAAGATATTTTTAAGAAAGACTTTGGTAAAACTTTTGCGAGAACGGTCACGTTATTTTCACAATACCAGACCTGAAAGAGTCATAAAAGACGGATCCCTTTGTTTAGCATTCTTTTCATATTTGGCTCTTTAGCCTTACATTAAACACCCAAATTTTTACCTGTTTTCATTTAAAACAGACAGAGCTCTGAAGTTGCTTCTCGTCCTCAAAGTGAACCAGAAAAGATTTTCGGGAAAGTTACAAATAGATGCCTTTCCACCAACAAAACATCCAAACAGCTGTCACTTCCCGGCGTATTCATTCATCATTATTAGATAATAAGTGGGGAATAGCCCCTGAAAACCCCTATTACCTTTATGTACTCTACAGAAGTGTGCCACAGATAACAGATGAGGCTGGACTTGATGTAAAATTAAATTACTTGTTTCGTATTGGGTGCAATTAATGGGCTTTAGACGCAGCGAGGCTCAGTGCGTTTAGAGATGTGTCCTAT